TTACTGCAATACTTGAATTGTGTAGTTATCATCTTTTCTCACTAAAATTCTTACAGTCAACATTATATATAGTGCAACAAATGTATGTTTTGGCTTTAATTTAATTAAGAAAATATGGCGTCTGCCTGACAACAAGACAGAAAATGTGTGCTTGCATGCTCCATTGAAAATCTTCTAAATATTTACTCAAATCTGGAAACTGTTCCAAAATTCAAGAGATTGTTTGGCTTATACCTTTAACAGCTCTTTTGTCTGAAAAGAATTAAAGTAATTACAGTCTTTATGATTTGCCACAAAAATAATGTATTTCTATTTGATTTTTTCTAAATGTATTTGCAGTCGCAGTGAAACCTTTAAACGTTCGTAACATCTTGGGCATAATTAAGGGTATTCAGAAATCTCGTCTCAACACAACATCTGGATTTTGTTTAACTTTTGGAATCATCTTGAGGAGAGTAATTAAGGTCAAAGAGGCATTTAGCAAAACATATTAAACAGACTAAATGTGGTGTTTGGCAATATTTTGACAACTCTGAAGGGAGATTTTTTAGAAATAAAGTGTCCAGTGCACATTTATATTTAGTGTATTAGCAATGTAATTTAATGAACACAAGATTTTGTGAACAATCAAAGACATAAAGACTGTCTTTGCCTAACTGTGGATGCAAAATAAGAGACATTCAATGTATTTTTGTGAAGCCCTAAATCACAACAGTTTAAAAAGGCAATAACAGATGAGGCTACTGTTGCATCTTCTATCTATTCAATGGCCAAAGTGAAAATGGTTTGACTACCTAAACATTGCTTTATAATGTCACTGAATATGAGCAGCACTATTGTCCATAAAATAGACAGATGTACTGCAATGCTTCCACTTAGACGTTCTTCCATGGAACAGACGCAGTGCAGTCAGCCCACAGTGACAGCCAATTGAAGAGAGCAGCCATTAGTTAATATAAGAGACAGAAACTGTGACCCGTGAGAGAGTGAGAGGGCTCCTGTACCGCTACGCCCCCTGCACTGGCTCGTCATCATCCAGCGTGAGATCACGATCAGAGAGGAGTGGACATGCAGAGAGAGCAGGCTTCCCTCCTCCACCTGTCAATCAGCCGACCTGAGCGAGCCGTGCGTATCCCCTGATCCACTTCACACCAAGAACATATCTATCATGGAAATGCATTCATACCATCAGCAAGAGCCCGAACAATGAGGAGTCACAGATCGCTTATCTGTGAAATATTAACAAGAAAGCAAAACAAAGAGGAGCGCTGGAAATGATTGAAGATTGTTGGATAAAGCTTTTCTTTTTTGGTGGTTTCAGCATGAGGTTATTTTGAATTCACACAACAAAATATGCAGATGCAAAAGCCTGATATGTTTCCTGGACAAAACAATGGTTCAGAATTCTATTTTCTCCAGTTATTTCATGGACAATTATGCTGAATGGATCAGCAAAAACAAGTAAAAAAGTCAATAAACTATGTAATGTATTGTCTGGTCAGTTACTAAACAGTATTTCACTCTCCTTATACCAGTCTCACAAATCAACATAGATTATTTGTGTAAATAGATGTTCTAACCTTTTCGTTCGGTGCTATGAGACTTGGGTGGCATCTCTGACTGCCACCCCCCTGACCCAGAAATGGATTAAAGGGAAGAAAATGGATGGATGGTCTGTAATTGAGACGATAATACGGTATAAACAATGGCCAACTATTATTTAAGTTTAGTAATATGCCGAATTCTTAATGGATTGACAAAAAACTGTTTTGTTAAATTTAAGGCACACCATAATTGGAGATTAAGGGCAATGTCTGATGAACAAAGGCATATCTGTTTGATGAAGTTTTTATCTTTAAAATATAAGAGTGAGCAACGATAGAACATCCCAACTCACCGTAGTCCTGCCTCAGTGAGGCTTTTCTCAGGGCTTCAGGACATAATTAGCCTGCTCAGATTTGAGGTAATATGAATATTGCCAGAGGGATACATGTTGAGTTGTGTTTGCCAAGTCTGCTCGTCCAGGGTCGGGGCGGTGTTCCCAGAAGATAAATCAAACTTGCTTGGACACATGCTAAGTAATTGACTAAACGTGATGGATGCCTCTAAATCTGTTTTCCATTCCCATCCAAACTTGTGGAACTTGTTACATGTCTACACTGTACAGCTGTCATTCCCACAGGCTTATTAATTCATCACCTCGGCTTTATGGCTTAACCCCCATAAGCTGCCAGCCGCACTCCTTCTTCGGCAAATGGCAATGTCCAATTAGTTTAAGAATATATGTTGTATGCTTCCCTTTATAGGACCTAAAAACAGGGTAGCTATCCAATAACCTTTGCAGTACATGGACTGTGACTTTGCCTTCACCTCAATAAAGCTGTTTGTGATTGAATCAAGTGGATGGGGTCAATAGGACATATGTTCATTTCCCAGGGTCCTCTAGGGTCCCCGCGGGCAGGAAAAATATGCTGAGTGTCTTCAGTGACATTTATTGGAAAGGAACTAAGTTATACGTCCTCTCCGTGCCCGTTCGGTCTCCGTCACTGCCAGTCCACTACCGGCGTGTGCGTAGATGGACTCATGCATGTGTCGCCGTGAGGATCGAAACCCCGTGGCCACGCTTCAGGCATCAGCGCTCGCTCTATCAGTCATCAGTCACTGTCTTGAGAACGTCACCCCTTTTTTCCTGCAAACAAGTTTTGGTCTCCTGAAGGACAGACAGTTCCTCATATTTTCTGTCATTCTTTCTAGTAACCCTCAGCAGATATCACTCAGACTGCACTGAAGCAATTTTCCGCCGTCATTTCTTAAGCACTTTTGTCAAATTATTCATACCTGAATCAGAAACATTTATTAATTATGCAAATTAAATGAATGAAGGGCTTAAGACATAATTAACGAGGCTTTGTATGGCGCTGATGATAAGGGATTGAATAAATTGTGCTTGTACATGTTTTTTTATGCAGCTTCTTACAGCTAAGTCCTCAAATTATGTAAAGTGACCAGATTCATTGACAGAGTCATTATTTTATTACTCAGACCCGTATGTAATTTCTGTGGTAGAATATGCAGAGTATAACAGTCACTTGAGACATGAAAACGGCAGCAAATTACTTGATTAGAAATGCATAACTTGTAATACATTGTGTTTAATAACAAGGCTGTCCCCCCCCCCCCCCCCCCCCCCCCCCCCCCCCCCCCCCCCCCCCCCCCCCCCCCCCCCCCCCCCCCCCCAATTATACAGCACAGGGCTGTTACCTCCACAATTATTCCATGCCCTTGTCACTTTTAGTGATTAAGTGCTTAAGAGTGATTAATTAGTTGTGGCAAAATGTACAACTGCAGATTTAATTTTCTAATCATAAGTCGCACAGAGAAGGCTGCAGTGTCATGGGGGCTTTATCAAAATCCAGTTCACAAAACAAATCCAAGGATCTCCATACAGAATCATGTTGCTCAAATAGACTTGCAAGAAACAGAGCTGAAGCAGTCGGGTCTTGCAATTTGGATTAAGATAAGAAATACAGCAAATATAGTCAAATGATCAACCTACTTGTAAACTCGATGGTTCTGCTAAAAGACTAAACACAAAGAATCCAATGCTGATAAAGGAGCAACGACACCAACCACCAACAGACAACACATCTGCCTATAACACTAACAGAGGAAGTGATAACAGGGCACCACTGTGACATGCAGGTTCAAGGGGCTTCAGCTGCATGTGGCGTGAACAAGGTTGTGCAAAGCTTCAGTCTTTGTTTTTCTTTATTTATTTATTTTACAAATGATTATTTTACATCTTGAATAAACTGATGTATTCACCAGTGAGAACTTCAACATAGATACTCTTACTTGTCTGAACTTTTTCTAGACATATGGCCCCAATATTAAAGCATGTCATCTAAAACACACCAAAATCCTCAAACAAACCAAAATCCTTGACCAACCCAAGCATTACATCTAGAGATGGGTCTCCGGGTGCGGCAATGTAGCTCTTGACAGGTTGGGAAGGATAGGTGCAGAGAGAACAAATTTCCCTATGGTGACAATACAGTATACTACCTCACCCTACCTTATTTTACTTTATAAGTATAATCGACGGCCATTAATCTGGAAACACACATTTCTCTTAGGATTTTGAGTTGGCTAAGCGTATTCCTTCATGAAGTGTGTCTGACATCAATAAATACATATTCCCATTTTCAAGCAACTGTTTAACATATCAAAAGGATCAAAATCTCAATACTGCAAGTGGAAAAACATTAAATATAACAGGCAAAAAGAGACCAAAACATGGTCAACGATCTAAAACAAAAAGTCTTGTCACACGATCCACGTCTCCCGTGTACAGAGGGCCACTTTTCCCTATAGCTTCACCAGCGTCCCCTGAACCTAACTACCTCTTTATGTCCCATTACTAAAGGAAAGGCTGTTCCTGTGACCCATGAAGGATAAAGTCAGACGGACATAACTCACCTAAGTCCAACAAGACTGCGCTCTGTGTTCCAGCTCAACCTTAAACCACACACTAAATTTTGTGAACTCTGAGCATTACCTCCTCCTCCTCTTCGTCCTCCTCCTCGGGGGTTTTCACCAAACTATGAACGCTGCTGATCCGGCATTATCCCTATATCCCGTTTGACCATGTCTTTCATTATGATTCAAAAGGTGAAAATAGATACTACAGGGGGAATCATTATTCTAAAGCCCTTGCAAAATATCAGCCCATGGGATAGAGAGGGCCGTATGTGCTGACTAAGCTGAGCAAAGAGTCAGTAATAGATGGGAACTGTGCGGAGTATTAGGGCATGACTGTGGTTGTTAACCTTTGTCACACACACTTCCTTACTGCAGTGCATTCTTCACTCCTCTCTTGTTTCCCAACCATCGGGACTTGTGCGACTCAAATGAATTACCACGCCATCTGTACAGACTTTATTTGCCGGACAGGGGTCATGAGCTTTAGCCTCTGCCCTGTGTCTGCTTCTTTCAAGGTGTCATTCCATCAGTCTTAGCCAACACTCGGTTTGTTTGTTGCCGTACTTCGACTTGACTGAGAAGGAGTGGTTGTTTATGCATGTTTGACACAGAGAAGTTAACTGATATTTCACTTGTTTCACTATTATTATACACAAGAGTAAGTACATGTATTAGCATATAAATACACCAACGTACATATATAAATAAATAAGGTGGAACAGATTATCAGCGGGAGAAAGTTGAATAGTTAAACAGCCTCAGCATCTCTTACCTTTGTGATCTATCCCCCATAAGGGTCGCCAGGATTTATTTATCCAACTCTGCTGATGTATTGGAGACTTGGGAGATTTTGGTACTTACTATAGAATTACTGGTGTTATCACTGGTACTTATGTTAAAGTCCTTTGTCTTATTATGGGCCAGTCCCTATGGTAAGTACCTGGTACTTACTGTATAATAATTAAACTGGTGTTATCACTGGTACTTATGTTAAAGTCCTTTGTCTTATTATGGGCCAGTCCCTATGGTAAGTACCTGGTACTTGCTGTTAAGTACCTGGTACTTGCTGTTAAGTACCTGGTACTTGCTGGTAAGTACCTGGTACTTGGCTGGTAAGTACCTGGTAATGTGTAATTCTTGTTACTTGGGTTGGGTACCTAGTTCTTGCAGTGTTTCCCTTGTCCTTGAAACTTGTTTTGAAATATGCATTACATGTATTTATACTGTCCTTTCTGTGCTACTTATTCCATATTAATAAAGACGTTTGTTTTACATAATGTTGTTTTATGTTTTATAGTCAAACAATCCTACAAATGACCTCTGTATGTATGTATGTAGAAGTACCACATTTACTACATAGGAATAATACTGTAGTGTCCTTGAATTACTAAGTTACAGCTGTATCTAGAATTATCACAATAAGTACCTAGAAGTACCACTGTAAGTACCACAATAAGTACCTCTAAGTACCACTGTAAGTACCTAGAAGTACCACTGTAAGTACCACAATAAGTACCTAGAAGTACCACTGTAAGTACCTAGAAGTACCTAGAAGTACCACTGTAAGTACCACTGTAAGTACCACTGTAAGTACCACCGTAAGTACCACCGTAAGTACCACCGTAAGTACCCCTGTAAGTACCACCGTAAGTACCACCGTAAGTACCACCGTAAGTACCACCGTAAGTACCACCGTAAGTACCTAGAAGTACCACTGTAAGTACCTAGAAGTACCACTGTAAGTACCACTGTAAGTACCACTGTAAGTACCACTGTAAGTACCACCGTAAGTACCACCGTAAGTACCACCGTAAGTACCCCTGTAAGTACCACCGTAAGTACCACCGTAAGTACCACCGTAAGTACCACCGTAAGTACCACCGTAAGTACCTAGAAGTACCACTGTAAGTACCTAGAAGTACCACTGTAAGTACCACTGTAAGTACCACTGTAAGTACCACCGTAAGTACCACCGTAAGTACCACCGTAAGTACCCCTGTAAGTACCACCGTAAGTACCACCGTAAGTACCACCGTAAGTACCACCGTAAGTACCACCGTAAGTACCACCGTAAGTACCTAGAAGTACCACTGTAAGTACCTAGAAGTACCACTGTAAGTACCATGGACTTACCGGCCCGTAATGTAAAGTGTTACCTAACAATCATACTTACAATTCATCTTTTTTGGACATTCAAGACATCTTTACATTGCCTTCAACCAATACACTGTGGGGGTTAACTTCTGTAGCCACAGCGGCCTTGGGGTAGACTGACCTAAGCAAGGCTATAATCTGCACTATCGGACTGCACTACTAATCTAGCCCAATTGGCTGCTCTGGGAGTTCAAGTGTTAAATTTCTGTATCAAAACTGAAGAAACTTTTTAGAATTCAGAAAAGTTTTTCAAGCAAGTTTCATTTGCTAATCCATGCTCGTGCACAATAACAAAGCCACTCACTTGCTACTTCCAGGGAGGCGTTGTGGCTGATGGCCTGGCCCAGATAGTTCCGGGCCACACATACGTAGACTCCATCGTCAGGTTTGCTGCGGCGGCCGTGGACGATGCGGAGGAAGAAGAGCGAGCCACTGGGCAGCAGCATTCGATGTGAGCGGGGGTTCTCGCGGTCGGTCTCCACGCGCTCCCCATCTTTGTACCATTCCACCGTGGGCGTGGGACGTCCCTCTGCCTTACAGTTTAGTGTGGCTGGTTCCCCTTTGGACACAATCAGGTCAGAAGGGTGCTCCACGATGCGAGGGGGGGAGTCTTCCTGCCGCAGTCGAGAACCTGCAACAACAAAAATAGTTTTTCAATCAATCAATCAATTAAAGTGCAACCCAAAGTGCTTCACATCGACAACAGTCAGTAAATTAAAGTACACAAAAAACACACATACAAAACACAAAAGGCTCGATGAGTTCCGTGGTGACCAGTCATGGGCACGGCTAAAAACATATATAAACCTATAATACATATTATTTTTGTGCTAACATTCACATTTGTAGAAGAAACAACACATATTGGGGACTGTTTAGGAGAACCTCTGTCACAATAAGCCTTTTGCTCCTGCCTGTGTACATGATATATCTAATTTCAATAAGAAATTTAATAAAAACAATCCAAAATTGAAGACAATTTATGAAGGGATTTTTTTTTCTTTTCCCAGATCGAAAAGCCCTATGCCAAAGTGTTGTTTTTGTATCTACTAAGACAAATTTGTAAAACCATTTTACTGGTGCCTGCTGTCTTTCAGAATTACTTAATTGTTTAACTTTATTTAACATTGAATTTTCCATCACAAACACAACAGAAAATGTAATTGTTGTGAGGAGCTCTGCAGAAGTTTTGACCTTATCTGAAATTCCTCTAAATGAACTATCACTACCCTCTCCTTTACTCTTCTGCAGTTGGATGCTGTGGTGCCTGAGATCATTACTGAAGCTATAGCAATAAAAATCAATAAATTCCACCAAACCTTCGCTAACAATCCCACCATCACCTTTAATCCCAGATCCACTGATGAGATGTCAATCTTTCTAGTGCCCTTGCGGAAGCAGTGGGAGTCCCAAAGCACAGCGGCAGCAATAGAAGTAGTGGACGAAGATAAGCACTAATGAGATCCAGGTACACTGGCCTAATGTCCTCCCCGTATATGCTCCTTACATCATGCTGCACACCCCAACCCACACAAACACACTGCTCTATACTAGATGTGCTTTCATTTCAGCCCATCAAATTTTGATCCGGAACTCTAATCTTTAGTAAGTAAGTAATCTTTATTTATATACCGCCTTTCACAGACCAGAGTCACAAAGCGGTTTACAATTGTTATTTCTGGGCACTTGTCCTCTCACTCCACACAGAGATGGGAGCGGGGTCGCCGAACAGGAGGCGCATGCCAGACCTATTGTACATATTTTTAGTGGTAGGGGAAACCGGAGTACCCGGAGGAAACCTACGCACACACGGGGAGAACATGCAAACTCCACTCAGAAAGGCCCTGGTCCGGCCGGGATTCGAACCCAGGACCTTCTTGCTGAGAGGCGAGAGTGCTATCCACTCAGCCACCGTGCCGCCCAGTCACAATGTAACTCTTTCACATTGTGACTTATAGATTCTCTCAGACTCAACGGTTATTTGTGAATTCACCTCTGTGAAACTCGCGATCAATGCACACTTTATGGAGTATCTAAGCATCCAAAGATTCTTATAATGAGTTGAACAAGTTGAAATACTATCAGAGAGGCCCTCATAATTGTATATAGGATACTAATATCAACTCAAACAAGCAACTGATGAAGATCTTTTTGTGTTGTCGTCTGAAAATGTTGATTTATTTTTTATTTCAAAATCAAGCTTTATGTGTTGTGTCTTGATACATGGGCTATTGCTATACAGCCCAGTAGGAAAACAGAACTACGCATGCAGGGGTATGCAGGGGTGAAACAATAAATGTGAATGTTGTACAGTACGTAAATACAGAATGCATATGACAGACAGGTAGACAGAGAAGTTTAGAGATAGATAGATAGATAGATAGATTTCGATCGATAGATAGAGTTCACTCCAACAGAATCACTTAACACACACTTTGTACACATGCCTAATCTAATTTGAAAAATAATATTACCATCTCGATTATGTCTTTCCACACTTACGCCTACTGCCTTCCTTTGGCTTGAACCCATCATTAAACTGCTAAAGCCAACAGTCTCCGGGAGTCTATTAAAGGAACGTGACATTAGCTGTATGCAGTCCCATGCAGCCTCCTTTTACCCTTTTATTGCAGTGGGAGCAGCAGAATGTCACTTTTGTGTTCTTTCACAGATAGTGCAAACAGTATCTCGCCTCGCTTTGAGTCGGGGCCCCCCTTAACGAGCCAATGGCCCCCGTAAAACAAATAATCAGCAATGTGTGAGAGCATGATGAGCTCCTCCACTCCCCTTCACAGCCAATAAATCCACTCAGACACGTGTTTACACAGGTTGAAAACACCTCACAGCATCCCATGAAGAGCCGAGAATTTAATCCAGTGCTAGTGTCACGGTTATCTTTTTAACTTCCTTATGTTCTCTATCAGATTAAGAGAAATTAGCTATAATGGGTGTTTAAAGGGCCACCCCCAGTGCTATTCTGCCAATAGACAGGGACAATAGCTGTTGCTGAATGTGAGCTTATCGTTATGAAAAGTGTGCTGACATTAGCATTTTCTATCCGACAGCTCTATATTAACGGGTTGTGGGCAGCTGAGATAAGCTCTCCCATCGCACACTGTTAACATTATACTTATTCTAATGTGCCGGCTTTGTTTCCTCTGCTGGGACTAGTCCGTGTTGCTGCAAGGCTGATGACAGCACAACTTGGGAGGGAGAGTTTATTAGCAGCAAAGTGACAATTTATTAAAGATATGATGTGTTTATTGTTCAAAATAAGCGTATTTTTATGAAAAGAAATGGTTACAAAGGTTCCTCCGAGTGCTCCCGTTTCTCCCAATGAGTAAACATATTTCTCATGAAGTAACTAATTCATGAGATTACAAATATTTCATGCTGCAACTATTTTCAGGTTATTGAGTTATAAATAAGGTTACTGTGTTAAAGACGGGAATGAATAATACATTTTGTTTTTCCCACCTGAAAGAGCCTTGAAAAATGAAAAGTTGTGAAATATTATAAATCAAATCAATGTTGTCTTTGCACCCATCAATGTTGTCTTTATCTCATGAGAAAACATGTTATCTTATGCAGACTCGTCCTGAGAGCAGCAGCGATCATGCTATATTTGTGCTTCTGTTTGCGCTAGTTTTGTGATAATCCAAATTATTATTCTGCTTTTCAATGGTCAACATATATCAAGTGATTTGCTATAATCTGTAATCTGTAGTCTATCTTCAGACCCAGACTCCTATTTATAAAAAGCTGTTGGATTCAGATTCAGGTTCATTTATTTGCCATTTGCAGTAAAACCACATTGGAATACATCCGCAAAAGTCCCCAGTGTGCACAAAACAAATACATAAATAAAACAAAAAGTGCAACAACAACAACAACAAAACGGAAACAAATACAATAATGCTTAATGTGACATTTAAAACAACAAGTGGCTCTATTTGTGTATGTCTTAATATACATGATTTAGCTGTTATTTTTCATTGTAAAAGATCATGACCTAATGATCAAAGAAATATACTACTACTAAAAAACACATAACTTATTAAAGCCTCTCAAAGCGCTAATATAAAGTAATAATATATGTTAACTGCTAATTATGTGCAATCATTCCTGTGGGTACATATTGTCCTTGTCCGATAATTAAGGCGTTCTTTTTTATATCTTACTGAAGGCAAATAATTAACAAGCCACAGTTGTATTTAATATATTGTAAGTCATAGAATCTGAAAACAAGGAAAGAAAATGTAATATTAATCGAGGACACACCTGTCTGAGTGAACAAACTCATGGGAGAGGGCTCGCGGCTGCCCTGTGGCCAAAATCATAAATATTCCATTTCACAGTGCATTTACACATTGTCTAGACGTTGAAACATACCACAAACAAACAGAGAAGCCACATTGCTTGTTGGGCCTTGGTTCTTTGCACACATGCTTCCTTCCCTTGTTCTTAATTGTGTTGGGCTGGTGCCTAGGGGTGCACGCAGCTCCCTAAGCTCCCTGGCATTACGGCAAGGCAATATCAAACCGCCACAAGTGGTGCCCCACAAGACGGACGCATTATCTGCAAAGGGCCAGGAGCCAGTGTACAATAAGTATGCAGAAACATGCTTGTCGATCCACAATGGACTACAACCGGGCACACTGTAGGTCATTCGTAACACCTGTGCCCTCACAAATATGTTTTTTCTCTACTGTCAGTCATCCCGGAGGCTGTGCGGCTGCTGTCTTATGAAGATCTAGGAAATGGAAGAGGAGGGAACACAGAAAGGAAAGCTTAAGTTGGACTTTCTCTGGGCAAAAAAAAACAGGCAGATATGAAAAGCAGTGTGGTACTGTGGTTCCCAGGAGAAATGTGTGGAAAGAAAGAAAAACTGGCAAGTCTGGTATTAAAAGTTGGCCATAACTGCAAATGAAAAGTCTGATCTAGTTATTTATGAGATGCTAAGCAGGGTAAAGCCTGGTTAGCATTGTGATGGGAGACTGGGAACACCAGCTCAGATGTCCCAGGGAAAAACACTCATTCACTCATTTGGGTGAACGTGTATGTGAATGCTTGGGGTTGATGGCTCAGATGGGCAGCCTTGTCCCTTGTCAGTCTAGCTGAAGGCAGCTGTGGCTACAGTTTTAGTTTACCACCACGAATGAATAAGGCTGTGTGAAGCATTTGAGTGTCAAATGAGTTGATGGTTCAGTTAAATTGACTTACCGAATAATCATTGGTAAATGGTTCATTCTATTTCGGACATATTTAGAATACCCAGGGAACATCATTAATATCTCCTATAGTTGCCATAGAATGGTGCATAAATAATGGACCTTTCAAAACAACTCCATCCATGTATGAAGAAGCACATTTTCATTATTCTAATTTTCAATATCATTATTTCCCATTGTACTTTAGGTTTCCCATTACTAAAATCAGGCAACCAACATTGACATGTAGTGATGATTTTGTCAAAATAACAAGTAGTGATAGACCCAACACCTCTTGGTTTGTGTGCATACTAAACATCTGTGCGTGTTTAAAGTTCTGCTGGAACTATATGGCCCCCAAACACCAGCAAATCGTAAGCCTTCTAAGTCTTGTTTTACACGCTTAAGCCTAGCCTGAAAG